CTTTCCCTAAAGAAGATAAGGAAAGGTCAGAATTAAAACAGGCGAAAATGTCGGTTTAGGGATTGTGTTTGTGTTCCCTCCCTCCTTAGGGGGTAGTCAGAGTGACAGTAAAGGAGCAATACTCGAAAGGGCGGCAGAGGCGGTTGCTGAAGAGGCAGTAGATGAGGGGATTGATGGCACTGTTCAAGGCTGGCAGGTTCTGAATGATCACGGATGCGTAGAAGCGCTCTTTGGTCTCGGGGAGTATCTTGAAGTTGTCCAGGATATCAAAAAGAAAGTAAGGACTCCAACAGAGAACAAATGCTGGAATAGAGACAGAGGGAGGAAGAGCTTGACATTAGATAGTTTAGCTATTTAGGGAGGTAATCACACACGCACAGAAAGACTGTCATAACATATAAAGATTTGTTCATGCAAAAAAAAATCTCTGTCTACTCAGGGTCTTCTTGAAGAGAATAGTTATTAGGTTGTGCTTTTATTTGTCTTTATTTTTATTTTAATGCCCATGAAATATATTATGTGTGCTCCTCTAAGAGTTTAGAGTGCTCCCTCTAGACTTATCGAGGCACTTTTGAACACCACACAATACGTGAAGGCTAAATAGGTAGCCAGTTAAAGCATCATCAGTTATAGTGAAGTGCTTTTTTAATGGTCCTCTGGAGTGAGCAGCCAATCTAAATGTACACACAACCCAAGTGCCGCACTGTGACAGCGCTGCCTGTGACAGCCACCTATTGAAAAAGGGCTCTTAGACACCCAGGAGCAAGGAATGACACCTTTTCATGCCACTTTACAGCAGACTAACATGTCATTTGGCATGCTGGTTGGAGGTGCTGTGTATATGGACCGTGCAGAAAGACTGTCCTATACTGCAATTTGAGAGACTAATTTGGGGAAGGGGAGAAAGGACTGCGTTGTTCATAGTCCCTGCTTTTGTTCAGAGGTGATAGAAATAAAAAGGCAAGAGGTTTACCTTTAGCTGCAGACATAGGGAAGGAATCTGTCCCTCAAATCTCTGTCATCCCCTTTCACAAAAGCTTTTGATTAAAGATTTATGCAGAAACACTGGGACAGGCAGTTCACTCAACTAAACCATAAGTACCTGAGTTTCAAATATAGAGGTATCTGTGAAATTAAACACACGATCTCTCCCTGATCCAAAGGAGACAGCAGTGACCCCATGCTTGCTTTCTTGTTGCAGTAATCATTATTTCTTAGTTGGCAGATAGCAGAGCACTCACTTAATGTGCAAGGAAGTGGTAAACTTCCCTCCTGTTTTCTAGAGTAGCCACACTGGCAGTGTCTATGCACAGATACCAGCAAAATATCAATATGCGTTGTCAGCTTATAGATCATAGCACTGATTACACAGAACTTTAAGTGGCTTTAAAGAAAGTCATGAATGTTAGGTGCCTTAATCTGCAGGTCAAGAGGTGCTAGGTGCCTAATATTGTCAAGGTTCTTTGAAATATTGAGCATGCAGGTGAGCTCTTGACACCTGGTGGCATTGAGATAGTAGTTGTTTCTGGCAAATACTTTCTCTGATTGCCAAGCAGAAAAGTTCAGACAGAGAAGCTGTTCTTGGACTTCTGAAAAGCATGAATCACCCCAGCCTCTCTCATGTCTGCAGAGGCTGCCGCTAAACGGTGAGCTAAGCACCTCAGTAACAGCTATTATCACAATATCATCCAATCTGGATTTTGTGTGGCGTTGCAAAAAGGACCGATCTCTTTCAGCTGTAGGGGACGGCTGTCAGCCCTTGGGAGTAAATAGCTTCCGTCGCCTTCCTGCCTGTCTCTGGCAGCTAATCACAAGCCCTGTGTGACGTTGCCGTTATTTATCGAGACAGAATGTCAGCCTCTTAATTCCATCGGAATAATGTCATCTCCCTGGGAGATGGAGGGCACCTGCACTGAGTTATCTGCTGCCCAGTCAGGAGAGGAGAGCTCATTCTTCCCATCTCGGCAGGCAGCACTCTTCTGACATCAGATTCCATTGCTCTGCATCCCTTGCCTCTCCTTCCTCTCCCCTGCACAGCCCCAGCACCTGACACGCTATACATAGTCTCTAAGCCTAAAAGACAACTCAGTTGCAAGTCTTTTGGCAGCCTGGATGGGAAGGAGATGACCCCTTCCTCTGTTCCTTTTAGGCAATATCCCTCCTTTACTTTCTTTATGCACGCTAGGGGCTGTGTGCATAATTTCATTTAAGGCTTATGTCAGATGCCTAAACCAGGAGATTTTCAGCCAGAGGAGAGGGGAAGGACAAGGTCAGAAGGCAAGTCAGGGGGTCTAAGTGAAGCTCCTTCTCTGAGCCATCCATTGCCCTTTATCCGCTGATGACAGAGGGAGCTGAGGAAGACCAGCTTCCTAGCATCAGCAGCCTCCCTAGCTGCCAGCTGTGGGGCTTTTGACTTACCAAGGATAATTACGATGCTGTACTTGATCGCTTTCACTTTTGCCCTGGATATGAACCCACGACTGGTGTAGCCGGCAGAGGTTTTGCCACCTGGGGAAAGAACAGTTCAGCTGGTAAACGAGCAGGGCAGGTGCATGGATGTGCCAGCGCGTGTCTCCGCAGGCAGGACGGTGATACGTAGCCCATCCTTCCCTGGTGTCAAGAAGGGGCTCAGTAGTTCCTGAAATTCGGGCACTTGCAAACCTGCTCAATTTGGAAACTCCAAACCTGAGCCACCCAAAATCAAAAGCGGAAATGAAAGCAGAAGAGATCTTCCTGAAGCATTATGGCAGCTGGGTATTCTGATCCTCGACACTTGTTCAGGAGAACGGCTGCCTATGCGTCCAGCTGTATCAACCTAATAAAAACCATGTGCCATCACAGCTACAAAAACGCAGCCAGAGTGGTGTTATAGGGGATATCTTCTGAAAGAAACTGATGGCTGTAACTAACAAAACAGAAGCACAGGAAGTTCCGTCTGAACATGAGGAAGAATTTATTCACTCTGAGGGTGACAGAGCACTGGAACAGGCTGCCCAGGGAGGTTGTGGAGTCTCCTTCTCTGGAGATATTCAAGACCCACCTGGACAAGGTCTTCTACAACCTACTGTAGGTGACCCTGCTTCGGCAAGAGGATTGGACTAGATGACCCACAGAGGTCCCTTCCAACCCCTACCATTCTGTGATTCTGTGAAGAAACAGCCTGGTAAAACAGACTACCTGTTGACTTTTAACTGCATTTCAGTCAGAAGGATTTTAAAAGCTACATACTCCATTCCCTTAACCTCTTACTATTTTTGATGCTTTGGGTAATCAGTCATGCATTTTAGTCCGTGTTGACTCACTGATGAAATACAAAATGCTTTTGGACTAGCTTTTCAGAGATGAAGTGTGGCTTAAATTGAGAAGCAAATCCTATTCCGTTTCACACCAAGGCAGGTTGATCTCATTTCCTCTGAAGTCACACTAATGTCTCCGAGAATCAAGTTCTGTATTTGAATAACAGTACCAGCATGGTTGCAATAATATTGGCTGATTTCATTATTAATGTCGGTTTGCTGTTCATGTTGCTGGGTCAGAATAATTAAGTTCACCATAGTGAATACACAAGAAGGTCATGTTTTATCAAAACATCTTTAAACTCTTGTAGTCCAAACTTAGGACTGGAATTTTGATTAATGTAATTGGAAAAGAATTATATGTGCATGACGTTTTGCATCTCTTGTAAAACAGCGTGTCAAGACTATGTAATTTGTAAGGAAAAATGTAAATATAATTAATGTGGGCTTGTTATCAGTGAAACATCCCATCTAGAATCTTGAAATTAGTCCATACTTAATATTACTGGAAATCACTTGTTGACTTACAGAGCAGAATATACCTCTTGGATTAGAGGAGCGATTTTTTTTTTTCAAGACTAGTTAATATTGATTGTGTCATGTAGGTGGATCATTAGAAATCAGTCCTGCTCAAGTTTGTCAAAGGAGGAGTAAAATTTAGATTATAGCTGACAGATGTCAGGTTATGACATAAGGATATCTGAATATGTGCAACATCACATTAGGACACTTCCTCCTGTACCAAACATGACCCATGATCTTGCTTCAGGCAAGTACCAGCAACTTGGTCGCCATAGTTTGATGTATTTCCCCTCACCACTTGGCTGCACTAACTGGCTGCGTGCTCTTACAGTTGCATTGTAAAACACGTTAGCGTGAATGAACATGCTTTTCTTCATATCTAATAGGAAAGACAGCTGACAAGTGAGGATCTTGAAATGATTTGTTGTGCTCAGATTCTTTGCCAAAATCGATCAGAACAGTCCAAAAAAGTTTATGGTTTCGAGGTGGAAAGCTCAGCTCGTTGTACGGCTTCCCATTGCCAGGAATTTCTGATCTTGATGAAAGTCCAGACTTGCAAGGTCATGCGAAAGCACAGCAAAAGACTAATCTAAGTATCTGCTAGAAAAAGGTTTATTCTGGAAAGAGGCGAAGTTCTAGGAATAGGGATTCGAAGTTCTAGAATAAGGATTTTTTACATTTTAATTATTTTCTTGCAGTTGCTTTCTATGGTTTGTCTAAAGGGGATTTGGTGTCACAGGAAAGAAGGTAAAAAAATGTAGAAGAGAATTAGGAATTAGCAATGACAGAAGCTCCATTTCCAG